AGAAGTTCAAGATCATCCTTGGCTGGAGTCCAGCCTGGGATCCATGAAATTTTTCTCAAAAATGCACAAAAAGTGGAAAACAAAGAAATCTTTACAGACAGTCTCAAATCAGTCAGCCCAAGTACTGGGTAGACTACTGAGCCAATGCACGTGAGGTCTAACTCCTCTGCCTCTGCCTCTTCCTCTGTGAAATTGAGATGATAAAAATAATGACCTGTGTAGCGGTACTTTTTTTGTCAGGACCACCAGTTTGTAAATAATGACATGAAGACTTTTTATTAATTATGAGAGCTTAGCCATTAGCCTAGGGTTGTCCTCAATAAGCTCTTATAACTTAAATTAATCCATTTATATTGATCTATTTTCTGTCACGTGGCTTGGTTATCTTTACTCTGTACTGTATGTCTGACCTCTTCAGTGTCTCCCTGGCATCTCCATACTGCCCATCCTGCTTCCTCCACATCTGGCTGGCAACCTTACCCTTCTTCTTCCCAGAGTTCTTTTTCTGCCCAGAAGTCCCACCTATACCTCCTGCCTAGCTATTGGTCATTTAGCTTTTTATTACACCAATCACAACAATACATCTTCACACAGTGTACAGACACCCCATGCCTCCAGTGGTCACTGGGACACTGCAGTGTTTCTGATGACCACTGCCTGGTTGTAGCCACCAGCTCTCATACACTGCTTGCTGGAAACTAAAACCGTGCCTGGTGGCAGAGGATCCAGAGGAGCAGAGAACAACCAGCATATGATAGGAACTGAAATAAGTCGATTAAAAGAGAAGAAACATAAGCAAACACTTGTACAGCACGTAAGGACATAGATGTCCCAAAACAAGTACATTTGAGAACTCTGTCCCCTGGCTTTTCTAGGTCCTGGATGCCACACAATCCCTGTCTGAAGGTAACTGGAGTCAAAAGACTCTCTAAGGCCATGAATTCCTACAGAAATTTCTGATTATGAAGGAAATGAAGTGTGAATTTGAACACAGGAGTGCTTTTAAGAACTTGAAATTAGTTGTGTTCTCAAAACTGCTAAAAGATTTCTAAATATGCAGAGGAGCCCAGCTACTCCAGGTATCAAGCTGGCAAGGCAGCTGTGCCAACAGCAGTCATGCACATATATCTGAGGGCAAAGGTCACCTCTTCCGTGTTTGTCTAGTTACCAATTGGCCAAGACTTCCAAAATTTCAGGCTCCTTTCGTTAGACTGAGAGCTACTTTATTTTATTATTATTAGTCTTTTTTTAAAAAACCTTTTTAATGAACTTTTGACCCCAATTGTTTTTCCAGTGTTCAGTCATTTAGTGGAAGGCCATTAACAACTGGCTAAAAACACACATGTGCACATACACTCATATATTACATTTCCAAGCCAATTGAATTACAGAAGGAACCAATTTGAAAAGTTATTGAATTAAACCCTAGAAGAGAGAGATGGGTTTTATTGTTAATGGTTGGCATAGCAACTTGCCTTGCTGGAGAGTGAGATGTGCTGAGTTCTCCTAGTTGGAGACTCTGACACACTCAAGGCCAGGGCATCTTGTTGCCAGGGTAATGCCGCATAGGCCAGAATCCACTGAAAGGAATACCTCTGACATCTCATGCCAGCAGGAGCTATCTGATTAAAAGAGAGCTTTAAAAAGAAAAAGAAACAGTATTTTTGCAAAACCCAGAGGAGAACGCAAAGGCGGGATACTGAAAAAATGATCAGCAGGAAATCTAAAGGGAAGCAGCCAATGGGTGCCAAGAAGTAACTAAATAACGGGGCTGTTTTATGAGCTAGAGGTCGTGGTGTGTGAAGGCCCTCAGGCAGGAATTCCAGCCTGCCAGGCCATTTTGCATGTGAAATGATACTGTCCTAATTTGCCTCCATGGCTCAAGTTTAGCAGAATAATATCTCATGAGTCCTAGCCACGGTCCCACCCCCATCCATCCACGGCAGACTTTAATTTGACAGATTTTCTTCTCCGATAAAATACTAAGGAAAATGGATCCTAAGGGACTTCATAGGTTACATATATTTTAAGATGAAAAGGGAATCCATAAGAATTTCAGCCCAGAGGCCACCTAAATGTCACTGCCTGGGAACCTCTAGAACGGCCTTTTGGATGTCTGTCATATTTGTGTCTTGGTGATTTGTGAGTTGATTCACAGGATAATAATATTCTTAGGTTCGTGGTCTAATGGGGTCCTCATTTTCCTCAGTTTCACGTGCCAGTTTATCTTGGATTTGTTCATGATGAAACTATGATCCTTGAAGGTTCTTTTGCTCTAAGATTGGAGAAGGACAAGTCCCCAAATGCATGATCATCTTTAACTGAGGGATCTGATCCAGGGTCCGCAGGAGAAACTCCCCCTTACACTTCCAGGGACTTAATGGCAATAATCAATAAACAGAGATTTGTGGACAGAAAGATAAAGGATGGAATCTGAAAAGAATTCAGAATCCCAAACCAGCAGTTCCAATCTAATGCTCTCAGCTTTCAATCACACCATTATTTCATGAATAAATAAGGAAGGGAATCCACAATATTTATCTTGACCTATACAAGTTATTTACAGTATATAAACTATGATGGAAAGGTATTACCTTTGTAATTATAGTGGTTCCTTATGATTAGCAAGGGATGCCCTCTGGGTACCAAAGTCTGCAGGTGCTCAAACCTAGTGTATACAATTGCATAATATTTGCATATAAACTACACACATCTTCCATATACTTTAAATCACCTTTGAATTACCTATTATACCTAATGCAATATAAGGAGCTATAAGACAATCTAAGTAGCTAAGTATACTGTACTTTTTTAAGGAATGACAACAAGAAAAGAAGCCTATGTGTGCTGAGTACAGAAATCAATTTGGTTGTTTTTTAAACTTTTTTTTTTTTCTGACTATAACAACAGCATTCCAACTCCTGTCTCTGCAAATGATTTGCTAAATGAAATTTGGCCAAGTTATTTAATGTGTTTGGTCCCTGACTCTTAGGAGGTTGTTGTTGTTTTGTGGGTGGGTTTTGATTCATTTTGAAGACACAGTTTCAATATGCTGCACGGGCTGCTAAACCAACTTTTCTGCCTCAGCCTGCCGAGTAGCTGAGACTACAAGTACTCATCACTATGCCCAACTGGTTTGATACATCTTTTAAACAAATAAGGCATGCCCGCTTTCATCCAAGTGGGACGCTTCTCTTCCTAGAATGTACCGCCAAAGCATGGAGGGAACTTCAAACAAAATCAGAGCCTCTGGCCTCACCCTAATCTCTACCAAGCCAGTGTGCGCTTTTCAAAAGCTGTACATGTGATGCTGGTTTGCAGCTTTGTTTGAGTATCACCAAAGATTAAGGTAGCTTATAAAGATGATCTGGCTTATATATATGAGTTGTCATAGGCTCATTAATCAATCAAAATGGGGTACAGTTAAGCCCAGCTTATATTTCTTTTTTCAGTTTTATCTTAAACATGTAAACAGAACAAGGATATCTGGAATGTGGGGAAGCTGGCATGCATAAAGTGGTTATATTTCCCTCCACCACGTCAAGCCTTCAGTGAGCCTAAACTTTGAATGAAAAGCTCTTTGAAGTGACTGTCTCTGTTCATGGTTTGCAATGTTCCCTCCAGCCTTCATTGATCCAGACAGAATGATAATGATATTTATCTAATGCTCACTGGTGCTTACTGTAAGTGCTCTGGAAGCTTAAGCTAGTTTGATCTTGCTTCCTCCAATACAAGCCTGCAGGGAGATGACGGGACTGGAGGTGAACTTTGAACCTAAGCGCCCCCCCACTCTTAATGCCACTCAAGACTGTTTGGTGGGTCAGATGTTTCCAGTGAACAGCCTGACATTTTCTTGTCCTTAGGTGGCTTCTTCTATCTGTGATGTGTATGCACACACTCAGGGGACAGAGTTTGATGCCAAGAGTCTTCCTCAATGATTTTTCCATCTTATTTTCTGAGACAGGGTCCGTCACTAAACCTGGGCCCCACTCTTGCATCTAGAATGGCTGGCCAGCAAGTCTGCAGGATCCTGTCTCCGCCTTCCCACCTTAGGATTCCATTGCTGCACCTGGTTTTTGTTGGTCTTTCTTTTTCTTCCTTCCTTTCTTTTCTTTCTTTCTTTTCTAAGACAGGGTCTCACTATGCAGCTCTACCTGGCCTGGAACTTGCTATGTGGACTAGGTTGGTCTGGAACTCACAGAAATCCTACTACCACATACCACAGCACCTGGGTTTTTGGTGTTTGTTTTTTTAATGTTTTCTTCTATTTTTTGAGACTAAAATTACATCATTTCCCCCTTCCTTTTCCTCCCTTCAATTAAAACCATTACACATATCCCTTCTTGACCTCTTTCAAACTCATCCTCTTTTTTCATTAATTGTTATGTACGCATGTGTGTGTGTGTGTGTGTGTGTTCTTATATATTCCTAACTATATACATACAACCTGCTCTGACTGCCCAAACATGAACTGAACAAGGACAATACTAATAGACATGCTGGCATGGATGGGGACAGCTGTGAGATCTCAGCTACACAAAGAACTAAGGAAAGCTGAGAGTGGGACCTCAGGGAAGAGCACACCAGTTGGTTACCCAATACCAAATGATCATCCCAAAAAAAACATATACACATACCTGGCTTTTTACACAGCTCCTAGGGCTCTGAATTCGTCTTTACGTTTGTATGGCAAACACTTCACTAAGTCTCTCCCTAGCCCAGATCATTACTTCTCAAAGTGTGTACCTGAGGTGCAGGGTTCAAAGACCATTCCCAGTCCGCTCCTACTGAAATCTCATGGTGCAGGTGGTCACTTGGGACAGACATTTAGAAATACACTCCTCAGGTGACTCTTGAGCCCCAGAAGTTTAAGAACCACTGGCCTGGATCATTGTTTGTAGGTCACTAACATTAGGAACAGGGAAGAATATATTAAGGACTGTGGGAACTAAAGTTGTTTGCCAGGATCTATCCTCAGATTCCGCCTGGGGCAGAGAATCAGTCCAGAAGTTCCTAGATGGGTTGTACAAAGTACAGGCTCTACCCAGGAGGTCTACTGTCTTGTACAAAGACAGCAAGGTTTTTCAGGGTCCAGACCCCATCGCCAGACTCAAGGGCAGTACTCGTGATTAAGAGGAAGGGCTAGTACTGGCTTGGAACTTTGATGTTGTCCTTTTCACTATCCAAATACCACAGAGACTCTGTGTCCTGGTCCCAGAAGGGCAGAGGCGGAGCAGGCCTTTTGGAATGCAGTCTGCCACCCCCCTTTCCCCTGGGGCCTTGTATTGAGCTGATCTTGCAAACTCTCTGAGAGTTCACCGGGTGTCTGTTTCAAATGGGAGATTAAAGGAGGCCAAGAAGGTAACTTGGAGGGGTTACGTTTTCATGAATTTGAAAATCTTTTACAAAGCTCATTGGGGTGTAATTTTATATAGTAAACCTCGCCTTTTTAAAATATAAAATTCCATAATTAAAAAAATGATTTATTTGCTTTTATTATATGTGTATGAATGTTTTTCTTGCATGCATGTCTGTGTATCACATGCATTCCTGATGTTCAGGGAGGCCATAAGAGGGTGTTGAATCCCATGGAACTAGAGTTAAAGATGATTGTAGCTGCCATGTAGGTGCTGGGAATCAAGCCTATGGGTCAGATGTTGGACATCAAGTAAGATGCAGAACATCTGTAGGTCCTTAGAAAGCTTCCTATATAACCAGCCCTAGTCCCTTTGTCCCCAAGTCCTTGGCTGGCAACGATCTGGCATCTGCCATGCAGAATTTCACATATATGAATCTCATCATTTGAAGCTTCGTATTGTCTATAACAAGAGTTCATTTCTTTTTATTGCTAACTAGTAGCTACTGGATAAATGTACTATAATTTTTTTATTAATTCATTGATGGGCATTTGTGCTATTTCCAATTTGAGTAGGACACTAGAATTTCAATAAGCAAGCATTTATTGAGCCTATCTACCAGGACGCTCTAGAAAATGAGAAACTTTATGTTTACAGCTTCTTAGAAAAGACAATCACTCCTGAAGTTCAAACTAATACCCCCTGAAAGAGGAAGGAACCTGGGCCAACGTGATCCTTTGGTGGGAAAAGGAGTTTGTGGCCAAGCCTGAAGACCCAAGTTCAATCCTCAGGACCCACATGATGGAAGGAGAGAACCAGCTCCTGCAAGTTGTCCTGTGGCCTCCACAGGTACCCGCTAAACAAATGAATATAATAAAATTCTTTTACAAATAAAGAAGTAGCTTCATGTGTGGCTCTAAAAATATATGTGAAGGAAGAGACAGCTACTGGATGGCATTGGAACGGGGGTTAGAAAAAGTCATAAAGCAATAGTGAGGTGTTGAGACACATGGGGGCGCTCTAACCAACCAACACACCTCCCTCCCCTCTCCCCCCCTTTTTTTTTCCATTCTTACACAGGTTGTTTATTTTTCAGTTTGTTGGAATGCTGTGAAAGCCTCGATGAGTTCTCACCCTCACCCTTGGTCTCATTGGCCACTCCTGGATGTCAGAAAACAGTCTGGCATCGAGTGAATCTGGTTTTGACTATGGGTGCAGGGGGAGTTGGACCCAACCACGGTTTTATAGAGGTTCCAGTCAGTTTCCCTGATTAAACTCACATGGAAAGGTTTCCAAGGCATCTCATAAATCACAAAGAGAACTGGGATTGTCCCTAAAGTTCCTTTTTCATTACTGTTGTTTCCAGGCCTTCCCGGAACGTCTTCAAAAAGAATTATTGGGCGATGTTTTGGAAAGACTGATAACCGACGCCATGCTGGTGGGTCAGCACCTTGGCTGACTGTGTGGCTCAGGCTCTTCGAAGGAGTCTCAAGGATCCTAACAGAGAAAGGCTAAGCAGGCCGGAGAGCTTAGGGTTACTAGCTCTTGGCTTCTGAGTGTCTGTTCAAAGCAAATAACAAAAAGAAAAGAAAATGTTCTGGATATGTTTAAAATTTTTTTGAAAAAATCAATGACTCATTTGTTACAGAGTAACAAAGTACAAAATAAAAGACACTTCATAAAAATTGCATTCAAACACTGTGGTGGAACTCTGAGTGAACTTTGTGCTGAGGGTACGTGATTTTGGGGCAAGACCTGGTAGGGTTAGGGGTCCCCGTCTCTGGAAAAGCATTTGATCTATGGCATGCAAGAATGTCTCTGCAAGCCCTGCCACTAACAGAATAAATTGCTCACTTGAGAGAGGACTTTTTCTCTGTCAAACTGATCCAATCTAAAATATGACTAATTGTTTTAAGCAGAAAATTATCTCTGGCTGTTATATGCAAATTATGCAATACCACAGCCTGAAAATTAGGAGAAAGATACTGAAGAGATGCCAAGGACAGGGTGTGACTGTCCATCATAAGACTTTTTAGGCTATTTTGCCCCTGTCTCCTATTCTGGGATCTACCCACAGGGACCACCCTAACGTGTTCTTTCTGTTTGGCTTGAGTTCTGAACCATTACACAAGAACTGGGAGGGACCTTCACACAATGCCTCTCTCCACCACTCCCTTCAAATGCATTTTTCCAAGTGAGCCTTGTTCCTTGGACTCAGAGCACACTGACTGATGAATGTTGTGTTAAAAGCATAGAGCAGAGGTAGGAATGCAGCTCAGTGATAGAACATTCATCTTGCATGAATAAAGCCCTGAATTTGATTTCTAGAATGATAAAAAAAGTAAATTAATTAAATATAACAAATCGCTGCTGATTGTGTGTTCACAAGTAAGTTACTTTATCTATGACTCAATTTCCCCCTCACCATAAACTGTCCATGAAAATATCTTGATTAAATTATTATCTATAGTTCAGATTATCATAATTGACTGGTGGATATTATCTGTCTAAATATTGATAATAACAAAAACAGTACCAATAATAGTACTTATCTGAAGTTACTGAGATTAAATAAGATAATACATATAAAATAATAAATCCCAGAATCTGGCAAATGATAAACCCTCATTAGAGACCAACATTTTTTTATGTATGTGTACATGCTTGTGCAAAGTGTGTGTGTGTGTGTGTGTGTGTGTGTGTGTGTGTAGGCAGGTAGGTGTGTAAGCCTGTGCAGGGAGGCCACCGGAGAGCATCAGGTATCCCCTTCTGTCACTCTCCCCCCTATTCCCTTGGCATAGTTTCTCTCCACACTTAGAGGCCGACAGCCGCAAGCCCCAGAGAGCCTCCTGTCGCCATCTCCCCAAAGCCCTGAGGCTATCGGTGAACAACCGCACCCGGCTTTGTACTTGGGTCCTGAGGATTTGAACTCACATCCTCATGTTTGCACTGAAGTGCCTTTATCAGCTGAGCCGTCTTCCACCCGATCGACAGTCTTAGTATTATTGGCATTAGTGTAATAGTCAGCGTTATTATTGTTAGTTTACATGTCAGCCCCTCTCATTATGATCTGACCTTCCTGTGGCCATCCTAAGAAGCTATGGAAAGAACCTTCCTAGCTTTCCAAGCCCTTAGCCTCTTCTATCTGCATCTCTCTTAAGGATTCCGCCACCTTCCCACCGGGGTTCACACAGAATATGCAATCACGGCTAACACTGTCCGATTACCATTAGAGCTGTGCTGAGACACCAGAGAGCAGTCGCTTTAGCCAGCTGTCAATTTGCATGGATTTCCCTTAACAGAGGCACACACTCCACTGCATTATAAATACCTGCACCAGTCATCCATCCAGGGCACAAACGAGAAGTCAGGAGCATACTCTGTCGACAGTCATCTGCTTGTAAATGAGAGGCAGGAAGAGCAAATGTGAACAGAAAGGTGTTCTGTCTGCAGAGAGAAAATGCTGCTTAATATCATTCCAATTATGTCACCGGCAAGCAGTAAAGTCAAGGCACAAGCTGACAATTACAGCTCTGTTTGGCAAGAGAAATGTAGCAGAGAGAAAGGAAATCCAAAGAGACAAAGATTCTAGTTTTTCAAAATCGATTCAAGTCCTGCAAAGGACCAGTGAACAGAAGGGAAGTGCTTCAAAAGTAAATGTGCTAACATTTCTTTGGATAATGAAGGGCAGTATCTCACAGATAATACAGAAGAACTTATAGACCAGTTGCGCATATGTACATATTATATATAATATATTTTGTACATATAATATATATATATATATTGTGTGTGTGTGTCTGTGTCTGTGTCTGTGTGCAGTGTCAGGGATTGAACCCAGGGCCTTGTGCATGCTAAGCAAATGCTCTGATCATGAGATGTACCTTAGCTCTCTTTTTACTTTATATTTGGAGACAATGTTTCACTAATTACCCGGGCTGGCCTGGAACTTGCAATCCTCCTGCCTAAACCCCATGAACATTGAAGATTGAGGGCCAGTGCCACCTGGCCTCACAAACAGTTTTCTTAATCATCGGGGATACTATTTAAGAGTGTGGATTCTGTGTGTAATTGGTCTTGTATTCTACATCAATCCCTTACCCTTTCTAAACTTCATTTTCCCCACGTGTTAGAAGAAGAGTCAACATTATCCCACTCATTGGGTTGTGGTTAGTATTAAATAAGATGAATTATTTTTACCATCAAGTGGAACAACTGAAAATGGGTAAGAGGGTGAGAGGAAGGAGAAAAAAATGACAAGGCAAGAATAAATGGAGAGAGACAATCCGGGCAGATGGCAGAAGGGTGTTTGAGTAGGCAGTGGGGTCAGCTCTCCTCCTCCTTGCATGTGAAGTCCAAGCTAAGCAGAGGAAGGACTTCTGGCAATGACCCCTGCTAATGTACTCGCCCGGCGGCACCTTTTATCTCATTTTCTCTTTCTCCACTGAGTCCTAATGGTGAGCATGCGTGATAGCCAAGTTTCAGAGAAAATGAATAATAAACAAAAAGTGGCCAAAGTAACCATAGAAAAGCAATCCACATGTGAAACCCACTTTGTGGACTCCAAGTCAGCCCTCTGAGACTGAAGAGGTTAAGTGGCCTCCTCAGTCACACAGCTAGGGAGGCACCAAGCCAAGACTGGACTCTGTAGGCGACGTACAGTTCTCCCTGGTCCATCGGGCTTCAGGAGGAGTGCAGATATAGTAACAATGCTATTTATTTCCTATCTGATGTCCAACACAAAAATGAAAGAAGAGCTCTACCAGAAGAATCTTTTCAAGTTTCACTCACAATAGGCCTTACACTTTAAAAATGGGTCATTCTCTGTCACCATGGTGATTTTTCCAAGTTCTCCTGGAATCATCAGCTGTTTCCTAATGAGGAAACTCCCCACAACTTGCAACTCCACCAAACAGATAAATATTTCCCAGTAGAAAACACTTAGTTCCTCATGGAGCTTAGTCAATAATTGCTTTTCCTCCTCTCAGGAAGATCGCCTGAAGCCTGTGCCTGCATTTGCTCTGGGTGTCCTTTAAGCCCCTTGGTTCTACCAATGGCCAGGTACTTCCCTGGGGTTTGTGTGGTTTATGTATTGAGAATCAGCTTCTGTCTTGCCTTCTGTCTTTCCAACTGAACATAATAGCGCAATTGAGAAGCCCTAGAAGAGTATGGTGGCACCTCAAAAGATTAAAAAAAAAAAAAAAAAAAACTACCCTGTGATTCAGCAATTTCACTTCTGGAAACTACCCAAATGGGTTGAAAGCAGAGTTTTGAAGAATCGTTTGCAGATGCAAGCTCATAACTGCATTATTTGCTATAGCCAAGAGGTGGAAGAAACCTAACACTGTTCAATCGGATGAATGTGTAAACAAAATGTAGCAGATAAGGGCTAGAGAGATGGCTCAGCATAAGAACACTTGCAGAGAACTTGACTTGGGTTTCCAGCACCACATATCCACTCATAGATGCCAATAACTCTGGTTCCAAGGGATCTGACACCATCTTCTGGGCTCTGCAGGCAATAGTCATGAAGGAGTGCACAATCATGCATGCAGGCAAACACTCATACATATCAAAGAAAAATAAAAAATTTTAGTGTAACAAATAGAGAGATAAAGATATATGGGATGTGCGGCCCTATAGCAGCTAGGGTCTGTTAACATCTATGGCCCATGTTGCTGCCAAAGGTTACACAGAAACCCTGGGTCTTGGCTGAACCCTGTGACCTTGTTGGTGTCTGAGTGTGCCACAGCAGGAGCCACATTGGTCTGGGTGACCTATGGTGCCACCGGGTCCATGATGTTGTCTAGGCTGGGCTGCTGCCAAAGGTCACGTCTGGGTCTGTGGCCCTACAGCAGCCAGGGACTGTGTTGATGTCTGTGGTTCCTATTGCCATTGAGGGCCTTGAGGATTCCCGGGCTCTGGGGCACCACCTGAGTCCATGTTGGTGTCCAAGGGCCATGCTGCAGCTGCGGCTATACAGATCTGAGTGCCCTGGGCTGCTACCCGATGCCATGGTGACATCTGGGCCACAGCTGCAGCTGGGGGTCATGTCTGGGTCTGTGGCCCTACTGCACCCAGGTCTGAAAGCTGGGGTCTGTGTTGATGTCTGAGGCTGCTGTTACCATTGAAGGCTATGAGGACGCCCGAGGTTTGGGGCTGTATTAGTGTCCAAGGATGCCTCTAGGACTGTGCTGATCTGAGTTGCCTGGGACAGTGGTGACATCCAGACCCAGCTGCTGCTGAGGGTCATGTCTGGGTCTGTGGTCCTGCTACAGCTGAGGTCTATGCTGATGTCTGTGGCCTGTGTCACCCAGGGGAGCATAGGAACCATGTGTGGTGAAATCAGAGGGCCAGGCTAAGCTGGCCTTACCCTTCACTGGTCCTGCCCCTCACTGGATACTGCAGCAAGAAAGCTAGCCCTGATCTTCACGGGAGAGTCATCCCCTGCCCCCTGCACTTGGGAGAGATGGCCCCACCCCTTACCACAGGTAAGGGAGAATCAACTCTTATGGCATGGCATAGGGGAACTAACTCTGGCTCTGCCCCCTTGCCTGAGGCAGGCAGTCCCAGTCACCCGGACTGACCAGCTCAGCTACCACCCAGGCCCACAGCCAGGCCTTGGGTTGGCCCACCCTAACATCTGCCCCATCTAGGACCTGCTGGAGCTCATGAAGGGACTGATCCTGTAGAATGATAACTACAGGATCTCCGTGACTCAGGGTGGCCACGGGATACCCAAGAGGAGTTCCGGTGGGAATCCAGTGAGGATGGTGTACCAGGAACCAGAGGCCTTAAACCAGACCAGTGACTCATTGCAATGAACATTTGCAAGCAAAGCTGATTGGACAAAAGAGTACCTGTGTGACACACCAAGACTCCCAATCCACCAGGACAATGAGGTGTTAGAGAGACAGGAAATATGGAGAAGTGGAGAGGTTTTTGTTTTGCTTGTCTTGTTTTGGTTTGGCTTGATTTTTCTAAAATTTTGTTTTGAGGGGGTGCTGCAAGGGTGAGTAGAGGATATGAGGGGATGGGAGGTGAAAGGATTCAGGGTGTGTGATGTGAAATCCCCAAAGAGTCAATAAAGAAACTATGTTAAATTAACTATATATAAACATATGATGAAATACACAGCCTTCAATAGAAGGAACTTTGAAAATATTAAGCTAAGTAAGCTAAGTCCCAAACAAATAGACAAATGCTGTATAATTTCACTTATATGGGATATCTAGAACAGTCAAATTCATAGAAACAGAAAGCACAATGATTGTCAGCAAGGGATGGGAGAGGCAGAAATGGAGAGTTGTTTAAAATGTGTAAAGTTTCAGTTTTGTGATATAAAAAAGAATGAACATATTTGACAATGCTGAATTACATATTTAGAAATGTCTGTGATGTTAGATTTTATAGTATATCATAGATGATTGTTAGAAAAGATTTATTGTGTGTGTGTGTGTGTTCATATGTGCCTGTGTGCACACAGAAGCCAGAAAAGGGTGTCAGATCCCTTGGAGCTGGAGTAACAGGCATTTGTGGGGTGCCCAGCTTGTTGTGGGGTGCCTGAATCTGAACCTCTGTTCTCATTATGGCACAGCACATGCTCTCACCCTCTGATCTACCTCTCCAGCCTAACTGATAATTTATTTTATTTTTTTTTTTTAAGGCAGGGTCTCACCTATGTAGACCAGGCTGACCTCAAATGCAAATTCACAGAGATCTGTCTGCTTCTGCCTCCCAAGTGTTGACGTTAAAGGCATGAGCCACTGTGCCTGGTGGCCATAAATTTTTTTATTTTTAAGAAAAAAGAACAAAATGGCTGGGCAGTGGTGGTGCACACCTTTAATCCTAGTACTTGGGAAGCAGAGGCAGGCAAATCTCTGAGCTCAAGGCCAGCCTGGTCTACAGAGCAAGTTCCAGGACATCCAGGGCTACACAAAGAAACCCTGTCTCAAAAATTAAAACAAAACAAAAGAACAAGAGACAGAGACAAAAAGAGATAAAGACACTAAGTCCTATATAGTTTTTACAAGCACATGTGGAATTACTTGTTATTATTTTTGCAGTATTTCAGATTTAACCCAAGGCCTCACACATGCTAGGCAAACACTCTACAATAGATGTAGGTGGACTTTTCTTTCCCACCCACCAGTTCCCAAATAACTGAAATGAGACTCAATATTAACTATAAATGCCTGGCCAATAGCTCAGACCATTACTAGTTACTAGCTAACTCCTACATTTTAAATTAACCCATATTTTTATCTATACTTTACCATGTGGTTTGATACTTTTTCTCAGTATAGCATGTCCATTTTGCTTCTTTCTGTATCTGCTCACTACTCACAACTCTGCCCTTCTTCCCAGCATTCTCTGTTTGGCTCTGCCACTAACCTCATCCTGTCCAGCTATTGGCCTGTCAGTCTCTTTCTTAAACCAATCACAGTGACACATATTCACACAGTGTAAAGGAATATTCCACATTTCACCTTTTTTGTCTAATTAAAAAGAAAGGTTTAATTTAACACATTAAAATTCTATATAATAAAAGTTATTAAGTAAGAATTACAGTTACAATATTTGTATTTGGCAAAATTAGAGAAAATATTCTATTATTTATCTTATCTTTGTGACTATAATTTTTATACCTAATTTACCTTTTATTATATCTAAGGAAAACTTTAACTATAACTATCTAGTCTTCAGTTCCATCAAAGAGCCCAGAAGGGTGAAATGTTACCCAGCATCAGGGACATCTGGCTGTCTGGACAGTCAGCCTAGGTTCTTCTGTAATGTTGGTGCATCCATCTTGGCCTACAGGCCTAGTATATCTGACAGACTTTACTGAGAAGCAGGGAATTTTGAAGGACTGTCCTTCCTTATCTTGGCAAAGTTTGGCAGTTGCTTTCTTTTTTGTTCTGTTGGTCCAGTTTGGACAGTATAGTGTCAGCAATCAAAGCAGGGGCAGTTTCTTTGCTCAAATGTCTAGCTTTTGCCATAAAAAAGTAAACTCTATATGGAGTTTCTTCAATGCCCATCATCTTCTTTGAAGTAAACTGGTGCTGTCAGGAGTGAATGTATCTCACCATCAAGAAAAATCTTATGTTATTAAAATATTTGAAATGCCATATTCTGTAGGTCTTTGAAGTGTTTGAAGATGATCTATCTATCTAAATATATCTGTGTATGACCTTGAACACATACCTAACATGATATAAGTTTGACTATTATAGATGACTATTCATCTATATTTTTAAATTCTACATCATATTTTTAAATGAGTTACATAAGCACAGTACATAAACTTGATTTAAGTGTTTGATAGCAGGGCCTCTGAAAAGAGCCATGTCTATTTTTTTTTTTTCTGCTAGCACTGAGCCAGAAAGCCTTCTCTTAAAGGAGTTGTGTCTCTGCTTGTCAGTAGCAAACAGAGTCTATGTGAGAAAAAAATGGTTACCAAGAAGCTGAGTTTGACTCTGTTTTTGTGTGTTTAGAATCCTTTTTTAAGATTTGTTAGGTCTTACATGGAAATTCCAGCTCCATGTTGGAACATCATTTATAGGCAGACTTTTCTTTCCTGCCTTCCAGTTCCCAAATAACCAACACAGGACTCAATATTAATTATAAATGCTCGGCCAGTAGCTCAGTCTGGTTACTAGCTAACTCTTACATTTTAAAATTCACCCATATTTCTTATCTACCCTCTACCATGTGGCAGTACCTTTATTAGTACAGCACATTCACCTCCTGCTCCCTCTGGGTCTGACTGGTGATTCTTGACTCTGCCCTTTTTCCCAGAATTCTCAGTTTGACTCTTCTGCCTAACCTTATCCTGTCCAGCTATTGGCCAGTCAACTTGTTTATTAAACCAATCACAACAACATATATTCATACAGTGTACAGGAATATTTCACAAATGGAACTATGTCCCAGCCTGTACTGCTACTTTAAATGATTAATTTTTAATCTAAGAAGACATGCTGTTCTGCATTTTTCTTTCCTTCAATTAAAAAGACCCTTTAGTCTCATCACTTAGCTATAGTCACAAAGGTACACTGTAGACATCTTAGGACATGAAGTCTTTCACAATCATGAGCTTAAAGTAACACAAATAGACAGTGAATGAAAGAACAACCAAGACCCTGAATTGCTCCAGTTTCTGCTGGGACCATATTGACCTCCCATCAGCTAAAGATAGCTGTTGCAGGTAGAGGCTGAAGAGATGATTCACGGGTTAACAGCAGTAGTTGTTCTTCCCAAGGACCCAGGTTCAGTTCTTACAACTATCTATAACTCCAGTCCCAGGGAATCTAACATGTGGTACACAGATATTACATGCAGACAAAATACCCATATATAACATAAAGGGAAAAATTAAAATATAACTACTTGAGTTCTTTAAATATTACAAGAGTTCCTGTGTATAAGTTATGTGTTTAACTAAGGCCCAGAAATGAGTTTATTGAATTAACAAAAAATTTTTCTATTGCCTCCAAAATGGACCAACCAAAATTCTTGATGTTAAAGACCTTGCTTAGGACATTGTTCATGAAAGAATTTTTATGCCTGTTTTTATGAGATTCCTATGCAGAAATTCTGACCCCAGTTTTAGAATGTGACCTTTTGTAAACAGAGATGTTACAAATATAATTAATTAAAAGGAGGTCATATTGTAACAGTTTCTCCAATTCAGTATGACTCATGTCCCTATAAAAAGAGATATCTGTATATAACTACACAGGAAGGATATCATGTGCCATGAAGTCAGAGATCTACCAAGCAAGGAACACCAGAGATTTACTTACAGATTCTCAGGAGCCAGCAGGGAAGAACAGATCATACTCTTCTCGGAGGTTTGATGAAAAACGTTTGCTGAAATCTTGATCTTGGTACCGAAGTCTTCAGAATCATGAGACCAATACATTTCTATTGCTCAAGTCACAAACAAACAAAAACAAGATTTTCATTCATGCCACTGTTTGTGCTCTCTTGGTTCTCCTGCCTCTTACCCTACCTTGTGTAAGTGTGGTGGGAGACAAGATCTCAGGTAACCAATAACAACCTTAAGCTTCTGATCCTCCTGCCTCTGTCACCTAAGTGCTGAGAGTACAGGCCTGATACCACAATGCCTGGCCCTTGCTCTCCCCCACTCTGTGGTGGTATTGTATTCCCCAAAATATTGTGCACCCTAATAAACTTATCTGGGGTCAGAGACAGAACAGCCACTAGATACAGAGGCTAGAAAATGGTGGCACTCACACCTTTAATCCTAGCACTCAAGAGGCAGAAATCCCTCTGGATCTCTGTGAGTTCAAGGCCACATTGGAAACAGCCAGGCATGGTGACACACACCTTTAATCCCAAAAAGTGAGCCTTTAATCCCAGAGAGTGATGGCAAAACCAGAAAGATATATAAGGTGTGGAGACCAGAAACTAGAAGCATTTGGCTGGTTAAGCTTTCAGGCTTTCGAGCAGCAGTTCAGCTGAGATTCATTCTGGATGAGGACTCAGAGGCTTCCAGTCTGAGGAAACAGGACCAGGTGAGGATCCGGTGAGGTGAGGTAGCTGTGGCTTGTTCTGGCTCTCTGACCATCCAGCGTTTCACCCCAATAACTGGCCCCAGGTTTGATTTTATTAATAAGAACTGTTAAGATTTCTGCTACACCACTCCATTCCATTTGTTTGCTTCAAACCTTCCCTGTCCCTTAAGGCTCTCATCTAATGCATCATACTGTATGATGATATCCCTGGACTTTATTTTATGAAATCGAATCAGTATGTTTGCTTTGTTATGAAGTAACAAATATCTATTATTTAAAAGTGCATTTTGATGAGGGCTGTGGAGATGGCTCAGTGGAAAAAATACTTGTGTGCAAGCTTGAGGACCTGAGTTCTGATCCCCAGCACCTATGGAAAAAGCTGGACTTTGTGAAGTCCACCTGCAGCTCCAGCCTTCAGGGACAGATAGGGACATCTCAGGGGCTCTCTAGCCTGCCAGTCTAGCCGATTGGTGAGAGAGCCTGTCTTGAAAAGCAAGGTGGAAAGAAAAAGAGGCACACACCTGAGGCCCCCACACTTCTGTGTACAGGCACACACGCGTAAAATTGAAAGTCTGCTTTCATACAATTTGTAAAGTAAATAAAGTCAAAGGAAAGAGACTTTTCTCTTCCCCTCTGAATCAGAGGCAGCTTCCCCGGACTGAGCTGTTTAAGGTGGAATCTAGCTTTCCAAATGTTTTGTTGTTGTTAGCTGAAACATGACAGCTAGCCTTTGTACCTAAAGGTGACCTTAAACTTCTGATCCTTCTGATTCTGTCTCCCCAATCTGGCATTACACGTGTGCACCACCACGCCTGACTTATTCAGACCTGGCTATCAAATGCAGGACTTTAAAGATGCCAGGGAAGGTCTCTGCTAATTAGCATACCCCCAAGCTCTGTTTGTTTTCCCACTCTGTAGCCCAGGCTGTCCTAGAATTCACTACATAGTCCAGGTTGGCTTTGAACTTGTGGTGATGCTCCGCCTCAGCCTCCCTGTCTTAGTTACTTGTCTATTGCTGTGAAGAGACCATGACCAATGCAACTTAGAAAAGAAAGGGGACTTGCTTACAGTTTCAGAAGGTTACAGAGTCCATGATCACCATGGCAGGGAGCGTGGCAGCAGGCAAGCAGGCCTGGCACTGGAGCAGGAGCTGAGACTTAGATTTGGTCCAAAAGCACAAGGCAGAGAAAGGAGAGAGAGAGAGAGAGAGAGAGAGAGAGAGAGAGAGAGAGAGAGAGAGAGAGAGACCTGGCCTGTGTTGGTCTGAAGAATGGCCCCAATAGGTTCATGTGTAAATGCACAGTCACCAGAGAGTAGCACTGTTTAAAAGGATTAGAAGGATTTAGGAGAAATGGCCTTGTTGGGAACTGGAGTTATAGAACAGTTCACTCGGGGAGGGCTTTGAGGTTTCAGAAGCCTGTGCCAAGCCCAGGGTCTCTCTCAGCCTACAGGTCAGGATGTAGCTCTCAGCGACTGCTCCAGTTCCTGCCCACACACCACCGTACTTCCTGTCGTGATGATAACAGACTAAACCTCTGAAACTGTGAGCAAGCCCCCAATTAAATGCTTTCTCTTATAATAGTTTTCCTGAGCATGATGTCTCTTCACAGCAATAGGACAGTGACTAAGACAGAGCCCAAACTGGGAACATCACTGGTTTTTGAAACCTCAAAGCCCACCCCCAGTGACACCCCTCCTCCAGCAAAGCTACACCTCCTAATCTTTCTTAAACAATTCCATCACACATAAGAGTCTAGGGGGGCCAATTCTCATTCAAACCACCACATACACTCCCAAAGTCCTCCAATTGCGTATGATTTACATATGGTTTTAAAAGATAAATATAATTTAAGAAAACATATAGTTTTGTGCCTTGCTTTTCTCCAGTTCACAATATATCCTGAACAGCTTTTTGTATTAGCAAGCATGGGAATTACCTCTTTCTTTGCCAAGGTTTCTTATTTTATTTAACCAGTTTATAAGGAATATTTACACAGATTTCCATTTACTGCTATGGCAATCAGCACTAAAATTAATATCCTTATATTTGTATTTCTGAGCATTTATTTGAATGTATTTATAGGATAAAAACTCCTAGAACTATCAGGTCATGCATTTTAAAAATATTTTTTTATTTTATGTAATTGGTATTTTTGCTTGCCTGTATGTCTGTGTGAGGGTCTCAGATCTCCTGGAACTGGAGTTATAGAACAGTTTGAGCTGTCATGTGGGTGCTGGGAACTGAACCCAGGTCCTCTGGAAGAGCAGGCAGTGCTCTTAACCACTGAGCCATCTTTCCAGCCCTAAAAATGTATTTTAAACTTCCTCATGTATTCTCCATGGACCAACAAGAATGTTGGCAAATAGCCAACGAGGATGAGGCTGCAACTGTAATCTGACAATTGCTAATTGTGTTACTTCAGAAGAGTTATTCTGAGCCCGGGCATAGTGGTGCACACCTTTAACCCCAGCACTCAGGAGGCAGAGGCAGGCAGAGCTCTGTGAGTTCAAGGCCAGCCTGGTCTACATAATAAGTTCCAGGCCAACAAGGGCTACATAGTGAAACCCTGTGGTGAGACCTTATCTCAAATACATACACACACACACACACACACACACACACACACACACACACACACACACACAAAACCTCAGTTTCCCCAGCTTTAAAATGGATATGATTTTGTCTGTCTCGGAGTTGTCTATGGATCAAACGACACATGTGGTTTGCAATCACTAGCAGTTCACATACACACACACCCCTTTCTTTCTCGGTCATTCCCGGTCCCCTAACATCTATTTTAGTTTTGCAAAAATTTGACAAAGATACCGTTCCATGTCAACAAATATTTATGGAACTCTCAACTTCAGGGTTTAATAATAGCTAGAGCGACTCTGTTTTGCTTTGTTTTTTAAAGATGTACGCTATCTGTTTCAGAGTTTTCTGTACTGAAGAGGAGAGGATTCTCCAGATTCTGATCTAAGGTCATCCCAAGGAAGTGATGTTGAAAGAGTAACTTCATACGGTCTGAAAAAGAGCTGATGGTGGTCCAGCAGCTTTGGAGTGATGGAGAGGGAATTCATTACATGGCACCTCCACCTGGCACCTGGTGGAAGGGAGAGTGCAAACAGAAAGTAGAAAGCCAGAGTATGTGGCTGGAGATGAACCTGTGCTTGTCTTGGATCCTCACATACTGTCGGCATTCTACCCCAGAACACATCAATTGCTTCCAGATAAATGGCGTTTCTCCCTGCTCCCAGGGGAACATGAACATTCCAACAAGATGTGCCGTCTTCATCACGTGGCTCTCCTCTCCTGTGCAGCAGCTTCGGAGATGCTGATATTTGCATCTGAGAAGTGAGAGGAAACTTGACCCTGGCTAACTCTCACTTCTGCTTTTGTCTGGGTGTGCTACATATTCATCCGACTTCCTCTTCCTTCCCAACTTTCTGCTTCCTAACCCCGTTGTCTTCTCCATCTTAGTTTTGCTTTACTTTCAGCTACTCTAAATTTTATATTGAAACTCTACTCCTCAAGAAATGCTTAGGAAAAACAACTGCAAACCTTTCTAATGACATTTGAGGTCACTAAGGCACCAGGGGAAGCTCCGTTTGTCCATGTTGCGCTGGCTCCTTCGCCTGTGTCATCCTCACTGCCTGTGACAATGGACTCCTGGCCGGTTGTCACTTGTTCCGTTTAAATCTTGCAGAGTGCTCACACTAATGCTGAGGCTGACTAGTGCAGCCCAGAGTCCGTGCACTCACAGAGCTTTTCGTGTTTGCACAAGCTGAAGGTGGAACATCTGTTTTGAATTGCTTCTCCGGAGCCCTCATTTGGCCACCTCTTATCTACCGAGCCCCTCTGCGTGGACTCTAGGTTAGGGCCTCGTGTTCTTTCACGTAGGCGATCTCTCTCTCTCTGCTTTCATGAGCCTCTTTCCTCCTCACACTCCTTAAATCTGCGAGGTTGATTTTTCTAACGGACAAATTAGACACGCCCCTTGCCCTTTTCAGACTTAGATGGCAATCATCCCCAACTACATACAGCAAATCGTGATGTTTGCTTAGACAACTGAGAGAAGATGGCTACCAAAAATAAGTAAATTAGTTTAAAAAGGTGAACATACATTGAATAAAACACAAAACCCAGCAAAACCAACCTGTGGCGTAGCACACTGGCCGTTCTTGCCAAGAACCTGGGTCCAGTTCCCAGCACCCACATGTCAGCTCACACTCCTCTGTAATTCCAGTTCTAGGGGACCTGAAACCCTCTTCTGACCTCTACAGGCACTAGGCACACAGGTGGCACACTTTCATACATATAGGCAAAGCACTCATCCTAAAAATAAATAAATAAATCTTTTTTTGGAAAATAAACCATCTTGA